CTACGGCTAATGGAAGCAGTCCTGCGGGGCTCAGCGGAACCTAGGCCACCTGACAGCAGACGGAGAACCTGAGCGGTCGATGAAAAGTGGAAGGAAGGACAGCTTAGTGTAGTTACTGGAGCTAATAAAAATGAACACTTTTCGATATATATATATATATATCGGGGGGGGGCAAACTACTCAGCATCCCTGGGTTTTTAGTTCATGCTGGGGTCTGGAGCCCAGGGATGTTGTCTGGAGCTTGCCATTCCCACCCAATCTTGCTTGAATGCATGGATTAATTGTTTCAGTCCTGTATGTAGAATCTGAGTTAAACAACCCTACGGCTATATTTGGAAACCGAGTTAAATATAGCTTTGTATTCTATGCATTTTATCGTACACATCATGAGATTTAAGTGTTAGAGAATGGATCCTTGAAAAACCAACCAAACAAAATGGATCCTTGTTAGAAGTGGCGATTACAAAAATGAATAGCCTAAGGGGAAGAATTAAAACAGGGTTCCAGGTTTTGTTATGAACTTAGTCATTAAGCTTAGTTATTATCCAGATGAATTCTTGGTGTGCTGTCTATAGCTAGGTGTGGAGGGACAAGAAAATTGAAAATGTCAGCAAAATTGGAAAGAAGACGCGGTTACTGATCAGACTGAAATAAAAGATTGATATTAAATGCCCATCTCCCATAAAAGCATAACTTTCACAAAATCATCATCTACATTATTGATTTTCCTCTAGGAATAGGAGAATTAAGTCCTGTGAATGTTTCTGAACTAGAGACCTTTTGGAACTAAAGGGAAGAATGTCTTGAGTCTTTATGGTAAGTAATCTATCAAGATGTGTTTCTATATGGGTAGAGCATTGTGGGTTGGGATAGAGAGGAAGGAAGGCGGCAGAAATGGGAGGAGATATGTAAGGAGCCTTGCTAGTGATTGGACTGCTAACCTCAAGGTTAGTGGTTCAAACCTACTAGCTGCTTTACAGGAAAAAGGGAGCTGTCCTACAGATTTCCAAACCAAAACCCTAATTCACTGCCATGGAGTCAATGCTGACTTACAGCAACCTTATAGGACAGGGTAGAATTATCCCTGTGCATTTTGGAGACTGTAACGCTTTACTGGAACAGAAAGCCTTGTCTTTCTCCCAACTAGTGGCTGGTGGTTTCAAAGTACCACTGTGGGCGGTGAGTTTGGATTTAGTTATATATCTATTATCACTTACACATGAGTTGATTACAGCCCATGGCAACCCATATTTGTCAGGGTAGAATACTAACCCTGAGGGTTTTCGATGGCTGATTTTTAGAAGTAGATCATAGGCCTTTCTCTCCAAGTACCTCTGAGTGGACTTGAACCACCAAACTTTTGTAGTTAGTAGTCAGGGTTTACTTATTAACTGGGTAAGTTATGCTTTTTGCATCCTTTTTAATTTTTACACAGTTTAATATTGTTTGTTTTATAAAGGTGCTGATGTCTTTGGTGCATGGACACTTGTCCATCTTGCTTACATTTGTAACAAAACATCATGTGTAGCAAGTTTCCTAATTTGCTAGCACCCATCCATCATTGTGATAAAGATTTGTTTTAAAACTGGGTAGCACATTTGGGGGGTTCAGGGCATAGAAATGGGTGTCTGACTTTTTTTACTTCATCTTGAACCAGCTTCAATTTTCTCATGTTCCTTTTCTCTTTCACCCTGTGATCTCCAAAAGACCTGGCTCCCTTCCCCTTTACAACCTTCTTTCTTGGACAGTTGTCTTTCCAGGTCTGCATCCTCAGCATCTGTCCCCACCCCCCACCCTGCACATCAGAACTCCATCTTTTTGTATTGATGGTGAGTTTTCTCTTTCATTTATTGAATTTTAGGTCAGTCTTACCAACTGAGAGCTCCTCTCCTCTCTTGTCCACATTTCTCTTTCTCTCATCAGTGGCTCACAGTTCAGCCTCAGAGTGAACTAGCCGGGAGGTGGTGCAGGTGTGGGTTTTGTGGAGCACATCTGTTCTTCTCATTCCAGGTTTTTTTAAGCATGTGTTGAGAGATTTGGTTTTCTTCAGCTACCATTGCTTACTCTAACATTACCTTTTTTACTATCTTTTTTGATATTTCTTCTTCTGGAGATACATTTCTTCTTCCAGAAATGCCATCCTAAAATGCCTTCTTTTCCATATATGTATGTTTTCTGCCCATTGGTTTCAATATAGAATAATTGGTGTGGAAGTTTGAGAGTTTTCTGAAAATTCACATTTGACAAAAGCATTTTGTATTTAAGTATTTACCCCCAAAAATTGAAAAAAGGCATTTTCTAAAGGGAATTAGTTTAGAATTTAGAAATCTAGTTGTTGTTTCTCTAAGGTGTTTTCATTTGTTTGCTACTCTGGTCCTTTGCTGTGGATTCCATTACTTTTCCAACTTGCTTTTAATTCCTGGTGTTAGCCAGTCCTTTTCCTGGCGGCTATTTTAATACCTTCCTTTAATGTGCTAAATAGTTTGTGCTGCTTGATCCCAGAGATCCTGCAAAAGCTGTAAGGCGGTGGTTCTCAACCTTCCGAATGCCTCGACCCTTTCATACAGTTCCTCATGTGGTGACCCCAACCATAAAATTATTTTCGTTGCTACTTCATCTCTGTAATGTTGCTACTGTTATGAATCTGGTGACCCCTGTGAAAGGGTCGTTTGACCCCCAAAGGGGTCGCAACCCCACGGTTGAGAACTGCTGCTCTAGTTTGGTTTGGGTGATTTGGTTCGTTCAAGCTGTAAATCCTAGTCCATTTTCTGTGGATTGTGAGTCCAACAGAATACAAACAGTGTGGTTTGAGTCTGTCCTGCATGTGTATGGTGTATATGGTCCCTGTTTGTCAGTGTGAGGGCATGGGCAGAGGTCTACCTGTCAATGAACCAGGTCTCTGGTATGCAAATGAAGATCTGATGCATGTGTATACAGGTTGAGGGCAAACACAGGTGTTTACAACAGTTTTAGGGGTTTGCTTTTGTGTGCTTATCCTTGCCCACTCCTTTATTCCATGGAGCTCTTCTTTTTGATTATTTGAATATGACTCATATAAATCAATTTGAACTGTTGTATATTTACAGTAATCAAAATTAAGATGGTTACTTGCCTTTCAGTGGAGGAGGGTTGCTGGCAGTGAAGTGGTGGTTTTATGGATTGTAACTCCACGTATGCTTTGTAGTCCTTACTATACTTTAGATATTAGCTGCCTGAGGTCCCGTAGCATTTAGGAAAAAGGCTTAGCGTGTCATTACCATTTCCGTGTATCACCGAGGTTTAATGGTCGTTATCTAGTGTTTAGTATTAGGTATCTAGAGCTGCTGTAACAGAAATGCCACAAGCAGTATGATTTTATCCCACTTTAGAAGACTTAAAGTCTGCATTCACAGCAACAGCTAAAAGGGCAGGCTTTCTTTCTCTGCCTGGCTCTGGGGGAAGGTCCTCATCTCTTTCCAGTTTCTACTCCTCGGTCCTTGGAGAGCTCGTGTGGAATGGCATCTAGCTTCCCCATCTGTCCTTTTGTGTTTCTTGTTAAATCTACCCTTACATCTCAAAAGACTTCATTCACTACCTCAAAATAGCAAAGAAAGCTATTTTCTCAAATGGGATTATAACCATGGGCATAGTAAAATGTTCCCATTGTCATAAAGTTGGTTCCAGCTCCTAGTGACCCTGTAGTAGGATTTATACAACATATTTTGGGGCAACAGTTATTTTATGCGAGAATTCTTTCCTTCAATGCTCTTTACAAACATGAAGGAAACTAAAAATTGTTTAGGTGGTTTATAGATTCCTTACTGACCTTTATTATCCCATATGAGTCATATGGAATGGCTTAAACTTATGATTATTTTCTTTAGAATTAAGTGTTAGGGATTTCATAGGGAAACTTTTATCTGACTTTGGCTCATTTTTTAAGAAACTGTCAATGTCCTGGTACTAGTTTCTCTCATGTATGCTTCTACCCTTATTGTATCCTTGCCTTTTACAGCCTTGAAAAAGTAAATTCTCAGGACCAGTAAGTGGACACGGCCTTTCTTTCATCTAGATGCCAGGTAAGCTAATGTGTTCATGATTTTGAAATGTGCCTTCTTCCCACCATACTGCATCTTAACGGAGTAACCCCAACCCCTGTGACATTCCGTCCCTCTTCCTTTACTAGTTAAGAAGGAAAAAGTAGAGCTTCAATGGGATTTCATTTACACTCAGCAAATATTAAGCTACAACGATGTGTATGCATAGGAGCTGTGGAGGCAGAGTGGGTTGTGTGTTAGGCTGCTTACTTCGGGGTTAGCAGTTCAAAACCACTGGCTGCTCTGCAGGAAAAAGATGTGGCATTCTACTCCTGTAAAGAGCTACAGTCTCAGAAACCCACAGGGCAGATCTACCCTGTCCTGTAGGGTCTGCATGAGTCAAAATTGACTCGAGAGTGAGTTTGGAGTGGAGTTTTGGATGTGCACATATTAAACATTTCGCATTCTATGTTTAAATGTCATAGGTTAGGAGTTCATGGATACTAAGTGAGGGCATCTGTTCCATGATATTATAGAGATTAACTTACTTGCTGGTCAACTCAGGCCCGTTAGGTATTTCATAATACTAATCCATTTTACACATGAGCAAGCCAAATGGTTAAGTTACTTTCCTAAAGACACATCATTTCGATGATAGAGGCATAAGAATCTGTCTGTTCTATCTGAGCATTGGGCATCTTAGTAGTCACTGGCCATTTCCTGTCGAGCCTTTCTGTCACAAAGGTTGCAGAGGTCTGCACAGTGACTGTCCTTTGGTTTGCCTTCTTCATGAACACGCATACAAATTCTCAAACCCGCCCTGATTTTTCAGCTGGAACATGTAGAGGAGCTCCAAATTGGTGATCACCCAGGTTAATAAAAGAAAGGATCCTGTGGTGTTTTCCTCATATGAATTGTTGGGCATGTATTGTCTGTCAGCAAAGAGAAAATGAAATAACATTTCAACCCCAGCAAAACCTAGGGCACTTAGAGATTCCATGGACATGTTTCGACTTTTCTGCATCGATTTTAAAGTTTAAGGCTTCTTTTCTTAGTTATGGGTGTATTAATCACATTTCTGCTTTACCTCACAGGTTTGGAAATACTAATACGAAATTGGTACATATGATGCTGGAAACTTGTAGATGTGAACTACCCGTGACTAAAGGGCCTGAAGAAGATGTACCTTTCCAGCTCTTACCCAGAAAATGACTGTTAAGACAATGATGGGTCAGGAGGACCGGTGGGAAACTCCCTAGGAGACCGCCATAGAAGATGTACACGTCAGAAGAGAGCTGTAATCGGAGAACTCAAACAAGGAACAGATATCATGTGTGCCCTCACAAGGGGAAAAAGATTTTTATTCATTTGCATAAGTGTACCCAAATAGATGGTCAGATATGCCAGTGCCTTGAATGTGCGCAAAGCTTCTGTGAAAACTTAGCTCTTATTATGTGTGAGAGAACCCGTACTGGGGAGAAACCTTATAGATGTGATATGTGTGAGAAAACCTTCCTCCAAAGCTCAGAACTTACTTCACATCAGAGGCTCCACACTTACGAGAAACCTTACAAATGTAGCAAGTGTGAGAAGAGCTTTTGGCATCACTTAGCCCTTTCCGGACACCAGCGAACCCATGCAGGTAAAAAGTTCTATACGTGTGACATTTGCGACAAGAACTTTGGCCAGAGCTCAGATCTGCTTGTTCACCAGCGAAGCCACACCGGGGAGAAGCCTTACCTGTGTAGCGAGTGTGACAAGTGCTTCAGTCGGAGTACAAACCTCATCCGGCACCGACGGACCCACACAGGCGAGAAGCCATTCAAGTGTCTGGAGTGTGAGAAAGCATTCAGTGGGAAATCAGACCTTATTAGCCACCAGAGAACGCATACTGGCGAGCGTCCCTACAAGTGTAACAAGTGTGAGAAGAGTTACCGACACCGTTCAGCCTTCATTGTGCATAAAAGAGTTCATACTGGGGAGAAGCCCTATAAGTGTGGTGCCTGTGAGAAGTGCTTTGGCCAGAAATCAGACCTTATTGTGCACCAGAGAGTCCATACCGGTGAGAAGCCGTACAAATGCTTGGAATGTATGAGAAGTTTTACTCGGAGTGCCAACTTAATCAGACACCAGGCCACACACACTCACACTTTTAAATGCCTTGATTATGAGAAACCTTTTGACTGTAACTCCGACCTTATTGTACATCAGAGGATCCACATGGAAGAGAAACCACATCCGTGGTCAGCCTGTGAAAGTGGCTTCATTCTAGGCATGGACTTTGTTGCCCAACAAAAAGTGAGAACTCAAACAGAGGAGCTACGTTATCAATACAGTGTATGTGATAAGAGCTTCCACCAGAACTCGGCCCTTCTTCAACCCCAGACAATCCACATGGGTGAGAAACCCTATCTCTGTCATGTGAGTGAGAAAGGTGTTGAGCTCAGCCCTCCCCGCGCTTCAGAAGCCTCACAAATGTCTTGACAAGATAGAAAGTTAAAATACCTTACAAAAACTGTCAGCACACACTAAGATAAAAAGCCTTAGGCATATTTCAGTGGTGAAGCAGACTTTTCTCAGAGCTCAGACTTCAGCGAGGAACAGAGAACCAGCAATTGTAGGCAGTGTGAGAAATGTTTTGCCCAGAGAGCTCCTGTAACAGAACGCTTTTATCATTCTCCAGTAAGAAACCTACAAATCCTCTGAGTTTGGGAAAACCTTTAGTCCAAACTCAAATCTAATCATCTACAGTAGGATTCACATGAGTGGGAAACCTTGTCCTGCAGTGAATAGGAGCCTCATGTCATTGCTCTTGGTTCGAGAGAATTCACGCGGGAGAACACCTTTTAAATGCTTCAGACAGTGTGCATATCTCATAAGACATATAACATGCTGTGGAGAAGGCCCAACAAGTGTGAGAAATGCTTCTAATAGAAGTGGTGACTTTCTTACCCATCAGAGAATCTATACTGTCAAAACAAAAGTCTGTATTTGTCTTGGGTGTGGCAGAATCATCGGTTGGCGAGCCTAGTTGTATTTGAATTAAAAAGAAATACTTTGTTTGTTTGTGGGAAGACCTTTAAAGTCTGAATGAGAAAAGCTTGTGTTAGTAGTCAACAGCTCTTATGGTACACCAGGGAACTCACATCCGTTTAAAAAACAAACAAACAACCTTTTAAAGACCTTGAGCCTGAAAAAAAAACAACTTTGCTAGAAGCCCTTATTAGTTCCCCAAAGAACCCCTTGCAGAGAATTATGCTCCAGTGACAAATCTAATTGTGGGTGAGAGTCTGTACATATAATACATATGAAAAGAACTGTTCTCATTAACACATCCAGTAGAGGCGACTACATGGAATCAGTATGGAAACTTTTTTTGGTCTTTTTTCAATAGAAGCTTCTGGGAGGAGCTAGGGCAGGTCAGCGTAGGCCTGATGGGTAACTCAGGTAAAAATGCTTTTCTATTATCTGCACCAATTAATGATGGCATTACTTTCACTATTATTTTTTCATTAATTCGGAAACAATAAAGGCAAGGACTAACCGTGTGCTAGAAGGTGTGGCATGTGTTACTGATAGGAAAAAGGATTATATCGACTTTGCCTGTGTTGTTTTCCTTTACTGTGATGGGGACTAGTGTGTTGTGACAGTAGCATGGGGACTTTTTGCAGTGAAAAGCAGTAAGACTGGAGCGTAGTTATCCTGGAAAAAACTCTCCCAGTAGTTGCCCCTTTGCAAGAAACAGTTTTTGTACTTAGAGTGAGTTGAGACATAACCATCAAAATTTTCCTTTTCTCTGAAATATTTCCAGATCATCATTGGTGTTTTGATCTTCACCCTTCAAGAACTCACAGGGGCAAATTCCAGGATAATTGTTTGGCTGTTGGTATCTATAGTTTTATAACTTCATGAATCATGTATTATTATTTGTAATGATAGATACCTATAGCCAGCTTTTGACATGGTTAGGGGAAGATGTGATTTTTTTAAGAAAGTGTAAGCCTGATTGGGCACAAAGTAAAGACCACATGAGGAGGCAACATAAATGGAGGAGCCAGACTCTCTGAATTTGACTACCCTGACTCCACAAAGCACCCCTCTCCTGCTGCCTCTACCACAACTCAACATTTGTCCTAGTTCTACCGAGGAAAGAACACCTTGCAATCCCAGACAAAGAGTTGCTGTCATTCACAGTATAGGGCGTGTAATTGGCAAATTTGTTCAGAGGTCTAAGGGTGAGACTTGTTTCCAACTTTACAGACTAATTATGATCATAAATAGTGTAATTAACCCAGGAGGCTATCAATGCACACCTCTGGGTTTTTTTTATCCTCGCAGATTAAAAGATGTTTGATATATTTCAGATGCCTGCAGAATGTGAGGTGAATACATATTTGTTGCTAGTGTTGAGTTTTCAGTTATGGTTTGTTGGGGTTTTTTCACCCTGGTTTTTAGCAGAGTCCAGTAAAAGGCCCTGGTTGTTTAATTCATGAAAAGTACTACTTTGCATCTGGCCCTAAGCTTTGGCCCTCATGACTGGTTCTTAATTCCTAAGTGACTGTTGACCCATGATCATCATCATTTTAGCACCCATGGATTTAGTTCAAAACAGTAATCAAGAGTTTAATCCTAGATTTTTTGCCTTCTTTTAGAAGACAGACTGGAAGTTTATTTGAGAGGCTGTGTTTCAGTGATTTTCATGAACACTTGTACCATAAAAATTGCCCAGTGTGCTTAGGTACACAAGATGTATTTATTTCTCTTTGGTGAAACTCATGCCTAGCACTAGTATATGTTTGACGATTGTAATACTTAGGATTGGGGATGTGGCATGGTGGTGATGGAAATTAGTCCATAGGACCCTTTGTTAGTCATTAGAGCTTGGAGAAGGGGGGCAAGTTGATATAATTTGCAGAGCCATGACTTGCCCCTTTCAGCTCAACTTACTGATAATTGTATCTTCATAACTTAGGGCCGGACCATCCCTCAAAATTTGGGGGGTACAAACAGGTCTAAGGGCTTTCTAAAAAGTGGTGGTGTGATCCATATAGCAGAACCTGAGGTTGGAGAGGACCGCTTTGGGAGCCTGTAACCAACACTGGAAGGTAACTTCTGGGATGGTTGGAGGTGCTCTAGGAGCAGTGCCCACCTAAGTCTACCTCAGGGAAGTCGTTAGAGTAGCTCCAGATTTCAGACCAAATGAGATGCTGGTATTCAGTCCTTGTATCCCTATGCTTTCATGGTTTTGTCTTCCCTAAATTCGGAAATAAACCTTTGTCCTGACAAACTTCATTTTTGTCTCCACTGTAAGAGTAGCCTTTCCCCCCATATGCTCATGTTGTACTCAAGAACAGGGTAAATATGGAGGTGACTCTTAGTCACCTAGGGGGGATAACCAACCGACCATCTCAAGAGTTACCAGAGTGTCAGCTGCTGATGCAGAGCGTGAGTGGAAACTGGCTGCTCTCAGCTGTGGGAGCTGAGCGTCCCCGCTGCATCGCATAATCGTCAGTAGCTTAAACTGACCACAAAGTCTCATAAACGTTTCTGTACAAATGTACACATTCTCTAAGATAGATCAAGTGAGGAAATGGTGGGCAATAGGACATGCACCTAGCAAATCTGGCAAGATTGAGCATATATTGACATAGGATTAAAGTTTATATGAAAAGCATTTTGATTGACAATGGCAGTTTTAAGGCAATAGTAAACACCATATACATTAGTACACTGGGACTGTCCTGACCTAAGGGTAGAGGAATTAAAAGTTCTCTGTGGGGCCGGGGAAAGATGTTAACAAGCAGTAACCCCAAATGAGCCCGATCCTCTTCCTTATCCCACCCCCTAGCCGTCCAGATCTCAGGCTCAGAAATTTCCCTCAGTTTACTCTTGGGATTGCCGTGTCCTCAGGTACTCTCAAGTTGGTTTGGATTCATCTACAAAAGCATAAAACACTGCCTTATCCTGCGCCATCACTGCAGCCACCATGATGATCCATCTCGGCGAGGGGTCTTCCTCTTTCCGGACGTCGCCTTTGAGGCATGATGGCCTCCGGGTACTGAACCCTCTTAATAGCATGTCTAAAGTGCGTGAGCGTTGCCATCCTCACTTCGAAGGAGCATTCAGAGTATTTTTCTCTGACAAATTTGCTCATACAAATGTGGCAGTCTTGTTGGATGCCATGTTTCTATGTTACCAAACATTATGCCTTTCTCTAGGCACTGGTCTACTGAATATTCTCCATCACACTTCACGGGCACATGAAGCAATTGAAAATACCATGACCTGGGGCAGGCATACTTTACTCCTCAATATGATACCTCTGTAGCACTGAAAAAAAAGAGGTCTTTTGTAGTAGATTTACCCAATGTGATGTGTCATTTGATTATTGACTACTAGTGGCATAGTGATTACATACTACGCTGTGATCCACAAGGTCAGAAGTTTCATACCACCAGCCGCTCCTTGGGAGAACAATGGGCCTTTCTACTCCTGTTGAGAGTGAACAAGCTCAGAAACACAGGCAGGTCTACCCTGTCCTAAAAGGTCACTATGAGTCAGCAGTGAGTTAGATTTGGTTTTCACAGGTGTTGTCTCAAGTAAAATACTAATCCTGGACAACCGCAATCCGAAAACATACACTATAATAGACAAGTGTTCTTAAATCATGATATAAAAGCTTTGACAAATAAAATGGGAACTGTATGAGCAGGAAGTTAGAGAAGAAATACAGCTGGCCTACATATACCTGAAAAAATCACATTAGTACCCAAATACATTGATGATTTTGCTTTATCAAACTCATTCATTCAGTAGTAAAGTTAAAAATTATAGTTATGTTTGTGATGGTCTGAAAATAGTATATTTTACATTTAATATACATAAGCTTTAGCCCAATTGTCTTACTTTAATAATGCTTCTATAAACATAGCCCTACGGATCTATATCTGAAAAACTGCTATTGGGTTGATTCTGACTCATCACCTATAGAAGAGGGTAGAACTGTCCCTTTGGTTTCTAAAACTGAATCTGTACAGAAGCAAAATGCCTCATCTTTCTCCTGAGGAGCAGCTGGCAGGTTTGAACTGCTGACCTTGCAATTAGCAGTCCAATTCATAGCCACTATGCCACCACAACTTTCTACAAATCTATATAGCTACATGTAAATGGATGCTTATTATAGAGCTTGTGAGACAGCAAAAAACTGGAAAGAAATGCCAAATTAATTAGGCAATTTAAATGAAGTAGAGGGCATCCATTGGGTGAAATATCAAAGTATTTCATGTGAATAGTTGCAAAACAGTCTGCACAGAACTGTGAAACAACAGTATGTTTAAAAATCTAATATATAAGTCCAAAAAGTATTTTTTTTCGCAGAGGATAATGGCCAATCTTTATAACTGGACCAATAAAACTGAAGTTGTCAAAGGATTCCATGCCACTTGGACCTTGAGTGCCCGTGAAAGTGTCAGTCAAGAAATTAAATGACATGTTGCATTGGGCAAATTTGCTGCAGAAGATCTCTTCAAAGTGTTGAAAGGACTTATTTCTTTATTCCATATTATTTGATGACAAAGGTGTGCCCGACTCAAGCCTTGGTCTTTTCCCTGGCTTCCTGTGCGTGTGCCAGTTGAGCAATGGAAAAGAAGGATGAAGGAGAACTTGGCACATGGGAATTGTGGTTTGGTGAAGAACATTGACTGTACTGCGGAATTCCAGGAAAGCAAACAAATCACCGATGGAGGAAGTACCTGCAGTCAAAATCTACTTCGCTATTGTCATATTCATCTTGGTTTCCTTGGAACAAATGGGCTGGCTCTCATGGCTCAGGGTCTCAGGACCCAAATTCCAAATAAAATGTGTGACTTCTGATGGCTCACCACAATTTCTGCAAGCATTATTCGAGCAACAGGCCAGATAAAACTGGATTGCTAACAATCCACAAGAAAAGGATTCATGTGGGAAGAAAATGTAAGAAGAGTCTATCTCTCCCTGCACCATGGAAAGTGAGCATGTTCTCTGCTTCTCCCAAAGTCAACTAAGAGGCACCGGGGGATCAATCAAGCAGAGGCAGCAGTGGAAGC